TCTGTGCTGCCTCTGCTGCTTGCTCACTTTGTGTGTGGCCAGTTTATGCTCTGTGAGCTTCAGTGTCCTCATCTCTAAATTTGGGGGTAATAGTACCTGTAGTACACGTATCGTTGGAGACAGATAATGCATGAGAAGTGCTTAGGATTATTCCTGGCATACAGGAAACAGTAAGTGGTGGTAGTATAACAGTATAGTAATGGTATTGTCAGAGAATTAGAGCATGCATGGTTTGTTTCAAGAGCTACAAGTAGTTCTTTTTGGCTAGATCTCAGGGTGCAAGACTGTAGGAGGTGAGGGTGGGAGGCAAAGGAAAAAAATATGCTTCGCAGGTGGGCAGGGCTCCAGATCATGGAGTGTATAGGAGAATAAGGCAATTAGTAATGGGATATCATGGCAGAACCAGGACATTTCCATGGTAATATCTTAAGATATATTGTGAAGTGTTCTGGGAAAACTTGGGTCTGTATTGGGAAATTGGCTCTCAATGTGGTATTCTCAGCATCCTTATGTGTACCAAATTAGCTGTGAGTGTTAATAGGATAGAAATAGGATTTTCAGTTCCTTTAGCCAAGTAGTTAAAAATATTGAGTATCTTGAAGAGTAATGAAGAAATAAACAGTCCTAAGGTGGTCTCAGAGATCCTCTGGAAATTGTTATGGTCCTAATTGTTTACAGGCTAAGTGAAAAGGGTTGCTTGGTCATTTGCATGTAGAGGTGATACTTTTACATTTATTTTTTGATTTTCCGAGAAGTAGAAAATGCTTCCATCTGCATTGGTTTCACTGGCCCTTAAAATAACTTATGTATATTTGTTGGTGTATTATATAACTTGTCACAACATTAGTCACCGCTTCTTCCATAAGGCAACATGTAAACGATCATGGATAAGCGTGACTGTAACTTATAATTATACACCAGTTTGTTCTTAGCACTTTAGTCGTTTTCTTCTTCTTTTTTTAAAGAGACTGTTACAATCTTTGGCTCCATGTAATAGAACTCTGCCAGCTATTTGAACTGAGTAAGAATGCTAGGTGGCTTTATTATTCCTCCTTAGAGTAAAGCAGTAACTATGGATGGCAATAGAAGATGAGCAAGGTTCATTGTTTCTCCAGAGGCCTTTTTTTTTCTCTGAATAATGTGTACTGTTGAAATGATGGATTATTGTGGTATACCCTATGTCTACTTTATGTTGTATGTACTGAATTATTTGGAAGAATTTCATTTTACTAGATCATTGGTTCTTAAAGTGTGGTTATTGATCCAGTAGCATCAGTATTACCTGGAGACTTGTTAAAAATGCTCATTCTTGGGTCCAACCCCAGAAACCCTCCAGGTGATTGCCATACATCTAAAGTTTGAGAATCATCATGGCACTGGATGATCACTCCTATCACTGAAATCTCTTAGACCTCAGGAAGACTAGTCTGTACTTCCTTTATTCCCTAGAAGGCCAGCTGGGGATATCCAGTTGGATAAGGGACTGTGGGGTCAGGGAAGAAGTCAGGTTGGAGCCATGACTTTGGAACATGTTGGCATATGTGTGGTAATTAGAAGCAAGAGACTGAACGATGTCACCTAAGCAATGATTGTAGACAGGGAGAGCAGGAAAACGGACATGAAACCACTAAAGGTGTAACCTGTACGGTAGGAAGGAAGAGAGGACCTGATAGAGAGTGTTATCCTGCAAGGCAAGGGAAGACTTGTGTTTCAAGGAGGAGAGCACATCAGTCAGTTGTGTCAAATGCTGCTGAGTAAGGTGACCACTGAGAATTGAGCATTTTAGCAAGGTGGATGTCTTTGGTGACCTTAAAAAGTTGTTTCAGTGGTATGGTGGGTTCAGAAGCCTGAAGTGTGTTAAAGAGAGAAAAGGAGAAGAAGCAGAGACAACGAGTACAATGTTGGGACATTCTTCTCAGAGAGAGCAGAGCTGTACAGAACACCCCGCGGTTCGGGCTGATGTGTTGGTGTTCCAGTGTTTAAAGTTTGTAACACCTTTGCATGCCTGTGTTATTTCAATTTTTAAAATACATAAGGCTCGGCGCTTGTGGCTCAAGCGGCTAAGGCGCCAGCCACATACACCTAAGGTGGCCGGTTTGAATCCCCAGCCCGGGCCCGCCAAACAACAATGATGGCTGCAACCAAAAAATGGCCAGGCATTGTGGTGGGCGCCTGTAGTCCCAGCTACTTGGGAGGCTGAGGCAGGAGACTCTATGAGCCCAGGAGTTGGAGGTTGCTGTGAGCTATGATGCCATGGCACTCTACCCAGGGGGATAGCTTGAGGCTCCATTTCAAAAAAAAAAAAAAAATAAAATGCATAAAATAAACAATGAGAATTTGAGTAAAAAGTGTAGAAGCTCTGAAAGAATCTCCACGGAGTCCTGGGTTCCTCTAGAATGCTCTTTGAAAGCTGTTATTTTAATCGGGGGTGGTGGTGGTGAAATTCTGACATGAAATTCAGTCTGTTGCAAAATAGGCTTAAGAAAGACATTTTTAGGTTTTGGGGGAATCTTCTCTGATGTTCTTGAGATCATACTACCTATTTTTCATGAAAGATGGCCTTAGAACATTCTTTCCTTTCATCAAATGCTCTACTTTGAGGTCTTTAAAAAGGGATGTTTCCATATGGTATTTTTTACAAACTTCTTTCTTTTTTTTGAGACAGAGTCTCTCTTTGTCACCCTCAGTAGAGTGTGGTGGCATCTTAGCTCACAGCAACCTCAGACTCTTGGGTTTAAGTGATTCTCTTGTCTCAGCCTCCCAAGTAGTTGGGACTATAGGTGCTGGCCACAACTCTAGAAATAGGGTCTTGCTCTGTCTCAGGCTGGTCTCCAACTCCTGAGCTCAGGTAATCCACTCACCCCGGCCTCCTAGAGTGCTGGGATTACAGGTGTGAGCCACTGCACCTGGCCTTCTACAAATGTTTAGTGTCAAAGGATTTTAACTTTGTAAGTCATTTTGTACCCTCTTGGCAGGAAAAATAGAGCACAACATTTTTTCAATGCTCTTTTGAAACTAAAGTTTACTTAGTTTTATTATTCTTTTTTAAGTAAAATAATTGATTTAGTGTCTGCTTTTCTAAATAACTGTATTTGGCAAGGTATATTTAAATAACCTGAATTTTAGAGTAGTCGGCTCTTTTCTGATGTAGAGCAAAAGCCCATGTTTTCCTTCAGTGAAGAAGTGATGATCCTTTATAACAGAAATAAGGAGATCTCTGATTCACAAAGCATACATTTTGTTTCTCCACCCCAAGGAAGTAGAGGGAGTATTACCATATTTTATTGAAACCAGAATGCCATTATTTATAAGATGAACTATTATTTTATGCATTACTATGAAAGAAAAAAATTACTGCCATTTAGATTATAAAATGCTGCAGGTGGTAAGACTGTGGTCCTCAAACCCTGGGCAGCTGAACAATACCAGTCTGTGGCCTGTTAAGAACCCCACAGCAGGAGGTGAGCGACAGGCAGGAGGTTGAAGCTCCATCTGTGTGCACAGGGTCCCCATCACCCACATCACTGCTTCAGCTCCACCTCCTGTCAGATAAGCAGCAGCTTTAGGTTCTCCTTGGAGCAAGAACCCTACTGTAAACTGCACCTGCATGCTCCTATGAGAATCTAATGCCTGATCATCTGCGGTGGAGATGTAATGTGCTTGAAATCATCCCCAAATCCTACCCTGTCTGTGCAAAAATTGTCTTCCCTGAAACTGGTCTGTGGTGCCAAAAAGGTTGGCGCCTGCTGTTGTAAGGCTTGTGAAAATGTACGTGTGTGGGAGTTCATCTTAGAGTCATTAAAACACAGAAGTTGAGAGCCAGGGTGTGAGTTCTGGTCCTGGCTGTGTTTCTGACTAGCTGTGGGATTACAGATAAGTCCTGTAGACTGTCTGCACCTCGGCTGCCTTAGCTTTGAATGGTGAGAGTAATGCCTCATGCATGCACCTACCTTGTAGGATTGTGATAGGGATGTTATTTTGAAAAGTAGACTCTCCTAGGCAGATTCAAAGGATTTGTTTTTAATACTTTAAAAAGTATTAAATTTAATGTTTTAAATTAACCCTAAGATATGATTAGGCAACTCAGAAAATTTCTTATTTGAGCTTTGTTATCAAGTTTAAAATAGAATTAATTTACAGATATTTGAAAATACATATAGCATTCTCTTCCACTAAATGATTTTTATTCGGTGTGGAAATAATCTTTGTATTGTTTTGAAATAAAAGAGAAAATGCAGAGATAGCATAATTGCATTATTATGTAAAATTACCAACCATTCTTTTCATTTCCTTCCGTGAAGAAGTGATATCCTTTATAGGAGAAATAAGGAGATCTCTGATTCACAAAGCATACATTAACATTCTTTTAGTGCTGTGATCTTTAAAAATGTTATTATGATATATTTATGACATAAAAGGTAAAAGAATGTAGTAACTAACATTCTGATTCTTGCCTTTGCCATTACTGGTGAAGGCCCCAGTGTGGGAACGGTGTCTTTCATTTAGATTAGCATCCCGACTTCACCCTAGTCTGATGAAATAGGACACTGCTTTTCTTGTTTCAGTCCAAAACTTGTAAATGAGCAAGTTAATTTAGAGTGTTTTGTCCTGGAACATGAGGCAGAGGGGCTTCTTGGGGCTGGTGTTGCCTTGATCTGAGTTTCCTCAAAATTCTACCTCTGGCTTTTTAGATCCAGAAATTGGAAATATGATCGATGTCTGTGAAATCATAGTAATGGCTAGCCAGTTATGTGCCAGACATTGTGTGTAGACAACTTTTGTATGTATTTTCTTTCATAATAATTCTTTGGGATAATTGTTTACATTTTGTAGCTTAAAAAAGTATGGCTAGAGAAGTTGAATAACTGGTCCAGAGTTACCTGGTGATTAAGTTGTAGAGGTAATGATTTTAATCAAGATCTGCCTAATACCGCTCCCCATGTGTTCTATACTATGCTGCCTCAGCCCTTGTCAGTAACCACGATCTGTTTCTTTTGTAGGCAAAATCCAGAGACCACGTTTGAAGTGTATGTTGAAGTGGCCTATCCTAGGACAGGTGGCGCTCTTTCAGGTACTTCTTATGTTTGATTCTGATATGGTCTGTTTGTTTATTGTGTGATAATATATGAGTAATAGGAAACTGTCATTTTTCTTTAAGTATGTTTAAGTGCCTTTTCCTTTTAATTCATGCCCGCCTCATCCTGGGAAGAATGGAAAAATAAAAGCTCCCTGACTAGTTTGAATTAAGAGTTCAGGTATAACCTGCTTGAAGTTTGGCTTTGTTTCTTGTAATTGTTGGGTCTTGGCTTGCAACTTTCACAGATGCCTGGAAGTCAGCTATTTAGTGTGAAATATTATCACCTTGCTAATAAGGAAGGCTTAGAATTAGGCCATAGGATACAAAATAATATAAAGAGAATTCTCTGCCACTGTACTGGAAGGAGATACTTGAAATGGACTTAATTTAGTACATTTTGTGTCAGCTGGTAAAAGCACATTGGAAATTAGCTGAAGGGTATAACTCCTCTGGCTTTACTTTTGGACTAATTTGAATATGTATTCTTGGACAGGAGAGTCTTCAGTAAGGTTAGGGTATTTTACCCAGACAGTGTATATCATTTCTTAACCTAAAGTCTTTCTTGGTAAATGAGAAAATATGAGATCATATCTTATGATCTGGTATTCTTTTTCTGGTGCCTAAGAGAATAATGCATTTTGCTAGGGTCTCTTGGTCCACACACAAATACCTGCATATATTGGAAAGTAAGTATACTGGGATTAGAAACTTGGAGTAATCAGGATTCCAATGGTAGTTATGCTGTTAATTGGCTTTCCGACCTTGGGCATCTTTTCTCTCAATTTCATTGTTTTAACTAGATTGTAACAATTGTCAACATAGCTACCTTTTATTGAGTACCTGTTCTGTTAACCTACATACTGACACCTGTGGTGACAATCCTACACTACCACTTTTGAAGGTAGTTGAGTGGCATCCTCTTTATACTTATGAGAAAATAGAATCTCAGGTGAAATAACTTACCAAGAGAGTATAGCTACATGGCGGATGGCCAGGCTTTTTGGTTCAATTCCTCTTCTCTCCGCTAAGTTGTCTTCTTGAGGGCAGTGACCACACTGTACATATCTCTCCATGTCACCGACAGGACTTTGCACGATGTCACTGGTAGTTGTTATATGAATGGATTTCCTGTAATAGCAAGTGTGAGTAACTGTGTTCTACCTTCTGGATTATGTAATGAGAGCTGTAAAACATGTCACAAATCTATGGTTGTCCTAGAAGTAGAAAGCTGACACCCAAGTTATACCTCTTATTGTGTATGGAGAACTTTGGGTTTTTGAGGGAATTATCTGTTATCAGGTGTATGCATGCAGCAAAATGTCCATAGGCCAACTTTACAGAGTAACCATTTAATGATGCCTGTGATTTGACATATAAATAAAAGGACAAAAATTTTCTTATTTCTCAGTTTGGGCACAGTGGCTCATGCCTGTAATTCTGCTACTCTGAGAAGCTGAGGTGGGTGGACTGCTTGAGCTCAGGAGTTCCAGACCAGCCTGAGCAAGGACCCTGTCTCTAAAAATAGCCGGGCATTGTGGTGGGCGCCTATAGTTCCAGCTACTTGGGAGGCTGAGGCAAGAGAATCGCTTGAGCTTAAGAGTTTGAGGTTGCTGTGAGCTGTGATGTCACAGCACTCTACTGAGGGTGAAAAAGTGAGACTCTTTGTCTCAAAAAATAATTTTTTTTCTTTTTTTTTTTTAATACTCAACGTAACACTTTATTATATTGCATTGCTGAGAATTTTCCATTTAGAAAACAGAACCCATCTTTCAGTTGTTGCTCCCTTCCCTTATCCCAAATTAGGGATAAGTTGACAAAGTAGAATTTCTTATAAAATTAGCTTTTCAGTAGTACATTCCAATTTAATTTTTTATACAGCTTGAAACTTAGGGTTACAATGCATACATCTGAAAATAAAATGACATCTTTTAACATAACTTATTTTGAACAGTAAAAAATAACCTTATGTACCCTACCATCAACTTCCATGCAAATTAAGTAGCAACACTGTCAACTAATATTCAATATTCCCAATGCTGGTTACTATAGAGGGTTCAATTTCTGGCTATTTTTCTTACAAATTTAAAATTTGTTCTCAAAATGATGTTTTTTATAAAACTGCCTTTTGGAAGTGCTTTTTTTCTTCTTCAGGATGATGGCAACATAAAATGTTGAAAAAAATGGCTAAGGTATCAAAGATAGTATAAAAATACATATAGCTACATAAATATGAAAAATATCCCTGTTTTTTTGATTCCAAATGCAGGTATCTAGCAATTTTTCTTAAAGTGTATCAAAAATCTCAAAAAAGGGGCTCGGTGCCTATAGCTCAACCGTCTAAGGCGCCAGCCACATACACCTAAGGTGGCGGGTTCGAATCCCCAGCCTGGACCCGCCAAAACAACAATGATGGCTGCAACCAAAAAATAGCCGGGTGTTGTGGCGGGCACCTGTGGTCCCAGCTACTTGGGAGG